CCAAACATATTTAGGACCCAGGTGTTTGACGACTCATTTGATGCTGAGACTTTCTCTGAACTTGTCCTTTTAAATAATTCTCCCTAGTCCCCCCAGAGCATGAGATCTGCCTTCAGGGTGAGGTTGATGGAAAGCACTCAATAGCATTTCTTGCCTGAATCTCTCCTACCCCCACTCCAAAGCCCCACTCTAGCCACTCTTTTAGATCAGAACATTGTCTTTTTAAGAAGCACACAAGCACTGTCTTCCATTCTCAATTTCAACATTAGAAGGGGCCTGAAATACCAGCTAGACCATGTATCCACTCCTCATAGCCCCTTCACATCATCTCAACATAAGATCATTCAGCCTAGAGTCAGAGCACGCTCCACTGCAAAAGCTGTTTAAGTTATCAGCCAGTACAAATTCAAATCCCCCCACACATACCCCTTCCAGGCCCCAGGCCCAAGGGGACAGTTCCTTTTATTAACCCAGACCCCCCTGCCATGTTTCATGGCTGCAGCCAATGGTGAGCCCCCAACACTCCAGGCATGGGCTTTCTTAAAAGGTATTTTTGCTCTGTTCAACCTGGTTAAATTATTCAATCTATCTCCAGGCGTCCTCAAACTACGGCCCGAGGGCCACATGCCACCGGCCTGGGACATTTATCCGGCCCGCTGGGTGTTTTTGCCGCTGCTGCCTGTCCTGCTTAGCAGCCAACTTGTCCCAGGCCCACAGTGCACACTCTCCAACAGCCTGAGGGACAGTGAGCTGGCCCCGTTTAAAAAGTTTGAGGACCCCTGACTAGACTTTGATTTCTTAAACTATAAATTGGCTGGGAAGAGAAGGAAGTAGAGTAGCTTGTGGTTCTGGAGTTGAGCTGATCAGAATCACTTGGAGGGCAGCGCCTGCCCCGAGCCCGCGCTTCAGGAGAGCTGCAGAGAACACGCATCTCTAATGAGCTCCCGGGTGATGCCATGACGCTGGCGCAGGGACCATGCTTTGGAAGCCACTGCACCGAATGATCGCTAAGGCCTCTTCCAAACTTGACATTGTATTTTTCCCATTCAGATAAACAGTCCACATTATTCTATTATCAGATTAGCTAACAACGAGCAAGAGAAACTCCTGTCTCACTTCTACATAGATCTGATTGTCTCAAGTGTTTTCATTTTCTTTCCCCAAATAGATTGCCAATTCTTGTTCACCTTGTATAGTTCATACAACATCCTTAACAGTGCCATACATTCAGTAGGTGCTAAATCCTTTTAAATGGAGTTACACAGCAGGACTAAGGTTTCTACAGAAGACAGATCCAGAATACCGAGGGTAGGGCAAACCCCAGTGACTGATGCCACATACGAAATCCCTGACAAGAGGGAAAATAGAAACACAGAAACTCTCACACACCTGCAGTCAGACCGGCAGCCCATGGTCTTGCTAATTTTTCCATAATGTAAACAGAAATTCTTTGATGGCCACTGGGTAAAGAATCAAATAAACATAATCTTTTCAGACTACCAGACTACTACTATTTGTTCCTACCTTATCTACTACGTGTGACATTTCTCCAGACTGGGTTTCGTTGTGGTTTTTGGCTTTGAGGTTTTAAATATATAGTGTCTGCTGCCATCTGGTGGTAATATCTAGCAAATGCAGGCCATCAAATAGTAACACACCCCGTAATCTAAACAGTTCTTAGATTCCTGGGTACTTGAGTTTTTAAGAAAGTGCTTAAGCTGTCACTTAAAATACCCTAGCTGTGGCAAATAGCATGGTCACAATTAAGAGCTACAGCTGGATTAGGACTAAATGGCCTGTCCTGGTATTTACTATCTCTGTGGCATTGATCCTTTATAGAACTTCTCTAAACCTTAACTTCATCTTCTGTGAAATGTGGATGTAGACAGTACTGTCTTTCCAGTGCCTCTGACAGGATTCGATAAGAATTGCATGTAAATGCTTGAAACATGCCTGACGTTTAGTAATAAGCCCTTGGACACACTTTCACTTCATTAACTAGTAAATGACTAAGGGATAGATCAATGCATGCCCACGAACCAGAGAAGACCACGCTTACCATCCTAAGGGACTTCCTTCCAGCCACAGTGGTGACGGTGATGTAAATCAGTTACTCTCAATTCCAAGCCCACGCCAGACCAACACAATCAGAATTCCCAGATACGAAGGCACACTCTCCAGAGATTCTGATTTAACTGGTCCCAGAGTAGGGAGGCGGGCAGGACAGGCAGTTGATTAGCAGGCCATCAGAATGTTGTATGAGCTCCACAGGTGATTCCAATGAAAGCCACTGCAGTAAATGGCCCACAGAAAAGCCATGTGTTCATTTGCATGTGGCTGTGGATTCCATTTCTTCCAGCCAGTCAACAGCATTTATTGAATATTTGCTGTGGAAAGAGTACACGTAGGGAATGAGGAAAAAGTCAACAGGATCCCTGCTCCATTTATAACAATCCAGAAGGGAGGACGCAGTGGCAGAGGGCAGGTGTCACAAATAGCTGTAGATTATAGCCTGGGAAGCAGATTTCTTGGCTCTTGAGTCTTATAGCTGCTCTTTGAAGGAACATTCCAGAGAGAAAGGAGAGAGGTGGAGAGGCCATGGGAGGGAAAGAAGATTTGGTTATCAGGGCCAGCTGTATAAAGAGGGGAGAGGGTAGTGCCGAGAGATGAGCTATCCTTTCTTCACTGCCTCCCCCCTACACACACACACACACACACACACACACACACACACACACATACACAGAGGCACAACTCGGCTGAGATGCAACCAGTAGGCCTGGGCCAACATGCAGTATAACCAATGCTTATTCAGCTATGCACCCGGCTCCCAATTATTTGCTTTGATAGAAATGTGGTAAATGAACCACAATAGTGTTTTTTTAGTTTTCTAGTCTACTTTTTAGGATTCTACTTTTCAGTATCCTTGCCATCTTACATTACTTTTGCTTAGGTACCAAAAACTTTTGCTTAAGTTTTAATAGTAGTAGTGGCAGTAACAGTAGCAACCATGGACGGTGAGCCCGGTGTTCTGGGTAGAGTAGCTAACAGATGGATCAGTGCATGCCCACCAACCAGAGATGACCACACTTAACATTCTAAGAGACTTCCCTATAGTCACATGTGTATACATATATGTGCACACATGTGTACTCACTTCCTATAAGATCAGTAGAAAGATAGAAGGGTTGATATTAATATTAAAAATATATCCATGACATATGAAGTTTCAAAAAAGTAGCATAATAATATGAACTATATAATCAATTCATGTTTTTAAGCTAAACTTGCATATATTATATCCATAAATAAATATAAAATGTTTGGAAGGACAATATTAAGCAGTAGCTTCCTCCAGAGAGAGGAAAAACAATTAGAGATCACATCAGGGGTGAAAACAAACGTTCACTTCTACTCTGTGTACCTCTGTAATGTTTGCATTTTTGCAATGAGCACATATGTGTTTCATAATTTTTTGAAATGTTAGGAAGAGCAGTCATAGCCCTAATAAATGATATATTGCCTATCTATATGAACACGTGTATGTGACAATTGTGAACATGTAAGTTTGGTTGCACATACAGTATATGCACAAATGTAGTGTGTGTATATATATGAATTATGTGTGGTATGCATGGACACATATATCATGTGGTAGTGAAGTATGTATAAATGAGTTGTATGCATATGCACACACATACACAAAGATACTTTTGGCTTGTGTGTTACTAAATTCTATGAAAATATATAAAACTTGCTATTGAAGTAGCAGATTTTACCTTGGAGTCTCCTAAAATATTTGACATGCTTTGAGTAGCTTAACAGACGGATCAATGCAAGCCCCCCAACCAGAGATGACTGGTATCTCTAGGGAGGTATCTGCTGACATTTTCCCAAAGTGGATATGATGCAGTATCTCACTTTGTACTTATCAACTCCCACTAAAACAGCAGATACATAAATATCTTACGTAACCATAAACTCTTCAACCAGAACATATTCTGATCTGAAAAGTCTCTGGGAAGAAAATAATCTGGCATTTTATTTATTTGACCACACTGTGGCCTTTAGGTAAACTTAGAAACAAATTCCAAATTCTTTACTCTAAACCCTCACCCAACATATTTCTTCAAATAGCCTGATGTCAGATTGGGCAGCGACTCTTTGTTCTGTGTGTGTGTTAGCTTACTCTAAATTAAATTTGGATGTAACTTCCAATATCCTCTTCCTTCCAGTATCTAATCCCCCTCTTATAGGATTTCTGTGCCTTGGCCAATGGTCCACTAATTTAAATATAGTGTATTCAATACAAAACTATTCTAATATAACAGAAGAATTTCAATAATCCTTATTGAATTATGAATTTTAAATGGGTGAACTTTTGAATACATAGGAGCAGAGGTAGAACAGTCGTTACCAGGAGTGGGGAGGGGCAGGAAATAGGGAAACGCTGGGCGAGAGTACAGTTGCCGTTACATAGGATGAGTGAGTCTAGAGGCCTGCCATACAGCAGGATGACTGTAGTTAACAATGCTGTATTCTATACTGGAAATTTGCTGAGAGCGTAGACTTCCGGTGCTCTCACCATAAAAATTTTTTTTAAAAGGAGCTATGTGAGGAGAAGGATATGTTACTTTGCTTGACTGTAGTATATATATCAAAACATCATGTTGTACCTTAAATATATACAATAAAAAATAAAAATAAACAAATGGGTGAACTTTATGGTATGTAAAGTACATCTCAATAAAGCTATTAAAATTTTTTTCAAGTTCATCTTAAGAGGGGGCAATATGTAATCTCCATCCACAACAAAAAAGGTGTTTTCCTGACTGGTAGCCCTTTTATTGCTAGTATGTAGAGAAACACCAGATTCCAGAGCAGGGGAGGAGCCGATCCCAGTGGACTCGCACCTGCAATCTTACCCCGGAGCCACAAGGAGCCCCCCTCCCCACACACCTTACCCAGGCTGTACAAACTCTTATCTGCTCTTCCCACAGGAGGACTACAACCAGCTGAGGCCGCTCTCCTACCCCAACACGGATGTGTTTTTGATCTGCTTCTCTGTCGTAAATCCTGCCTCTTACCACAATGTCCAGGAGGAATGGGTCCCCGAGCTCAAAGACTGCATGCCTCACGTGCCTTACGTCCTCATAGGAACCCAGGTTAAAATGTGGGCGATGGCAGGGCGGGGTGGGCTTCAAAAAAGGAAAACCCTTTAGGTACCTCACGAACATCTTATATTGCCAAATACTATGGTGAAGTACCCCAGACAGATCAATCCTATGGACAGAAGTTCTGAAGGTGTGCATGATCATCTAGCCCACAGTTTAAAAGATAATGGAGCTATTTAATAGGAAGCAAGAAGTTTCAATATGGCCTATAAAAATTAATCTCTCAACTTTTTTTTTAAATAGCAAAGTGGATGAGTGTAGTGGTACAGACCTGTATGTATGGTCCCAACTATTTGAGAACCTGAGGATCCCTAGAGCACACAAGTTCAAGTCTAGCCTGGACAAGACAGTGAGACTCCATCTGGAAAAAAAGATAGAAAGGAAAAAGAAAGAGAGAGAGAAAAGAGAGAGAGAGAGAGAAGAAAGAAGGAAGGAAGGAAGGAAGGAAGGAAGGAAGGAAGGAGGAAGGAAGGAAGGAGAAGGAAGGAAGGAAGGAAGGAAGGAAGAAGAAGAAGAAAGAAAGAAAGAAAGAAAGAAAGAAAGAAAAAGAAAGAAAGAAAGAAAGAAAGAAAGAGAGAGAGAACAAAGTGGGCCAAGCATGGTGGCTCACATCTGTAATTCTAGCACTCTGGTAGGCTGAGGCGGGAGGATTACTCAAGGTCAGGAGTTCAAAACCAGCCTAAGCAAGAGAGAGACCCAGTCTCTACTAAAAATAGAAAGAAATTAATTGACCAACTAAAAAGATATAGAAAAAATTAGCCGGGCATGGTGGCGCATGCCTGTAGTCCCAGCTACTTGAGAGGCTGAGGCAGGAGGATCATTTGAGCCCAGAAGTTTGAGGTTGCTGTGAGCTGTGCTGACGCCAAGGCACTCTAGCTCGGGCAACAGAATGAGATTCTGTCTCAAAAAAAGAGAAAAGAACAAAGTGATTTTTTTTTTAAATAGACACCCTTCTCCAGGCCTGACTCAGAGTAATGAGGTGAGGATGTCAATTGCACCCATTATCTAACATCTTTTATATCTGAAATCCACAGTTGTTTTAAAATCACAAAATAGGTATAAGTGTCAAAATGACCCCAGCAACCAGAACGAGCATATGATGACAAGAACTCCTTAATAACACTTCTGGGGAAGGAAGACTCCAGAAGAAATTACTGTTCTCTATTCCCTTTAAAGCCCTCGGTCTTCCAGATCTTAGACAAGAAGTTAAAACAAGTATACCAGATAAACAAACCCATGATTGTAAAAGACTTTATAGTACTTTGAAAGCCAACAAAGTCCCATAGTTTGGATTTCCAACAATAAGGCAATTGCACCAATGTATCAAAGATTGTTCTTATGTTTTAGAGTTTTAAATGGGTCTTGTTCTCAGTTATTGTAAAATCCAAACTACTATCCCAAAGACAAAAGAATGTAATGATACTGGAGGGCTGTATTGTTATCCGTTTCATATAATGTTTCTATTTTTAATTTACGGTCTGTTTGACAAAGAAAAAAATTTTTTAAACATAAAGGAAAGAAAAATAGTTCCTAAAAAGATGTGGACAGATACACATATATGTATTTATTTAAACAAAGTAGAAGAATTCACATATCTATAAATCAGAGCATACTTTTGCTTTGAATGGTATTTGTTTGTGTAAATGAACTCTTTTGACTTAAATTCCAAATGATAATGTTTGCCCATAATGATGGAGGCTGAATCCCTGCTCCTCAATGAGTGCCAGGACATTCAGTCACCTTTGTGAATGATTTGAGCCGATTTTATAACAGATGGGCACTAAATTGAACAGTTAAGCCAAAACACACAGATTAGTAGAGTTGGGCAATGTGCTTGTCAATGGAACCCTAACATATAGATAGACTCGTCTTTCTTTAAGACAGCCCCTGTGTGCCCACGTTCACCCCGATTTGTATAGACATGTGTTCATGAACCCAGGGAGATATTAAAGCACCCAAAATATTTAATTATCAAACCTAATCCAGATATATATGCTCTCTTCAAAATAATTCCTACCTTTGAAAAGATTGATGTCTATTCCTTGACAAACACTTTGAAAATTTCTCTTTGCTAAGAACTTGGTGAGGTCCTCAGAAAAAAGAAAAATTTAAATTAAAACAAAGAAAGGAAGAAAATTTCTCTTTGGGACTTGCCTTCCAGAGCTTGCAACACTTTGTTAGAATATCCTCACAGGTAGCAAATCTTCATCCCTTTGAAGATGAAGATTTTATTTGGAAAAGGAAAAAAAAAAAAAGATGAATTCAGAGCTAGGAAATAAACTATTAAATAATGAGTAATATAATTTGGGATCAAATAAGGCATCATATAAAGTAATAAGACTGGTTATTTTGTATGCCTCATTTCTAAGAGGAATTTAGAAATGAATAGAAAATTTCAAAAGCACCTGAGATGGCAATAGCATCCCTGGAGTGAGTCTTCGGCTCCCAGGGTAACTGCTTTGAAGGGGAAAATGAAAGGAAAGCCTGGTGTATACATGTACAAAGACATCACTGTACATTTTTAGACATAACATGGGTGGGTATGTGTGCTTCCTTAAAATTCAACAACTTCAAAGATGTTAATGGGAAAAAAGACTCTATTCTCTCACGGTTTAAAATATCTGGTAAGGCCTGAAAAAATAAATGAGTTTGTCATGTGTGTGTTTTTTGCCAGATTGATCTCCGTGATGACCCCAAAACTTTGGCCCGTCTGCTGTATATGAAGGAGAAACCTCTCACGTACGAGCACGGGGTGAAGCTTGCAAAAGCGGTACAGTCCGATTTGAATTTAATTTTAAATGTGTGCTGAGAGAACAGCTTGTTGTACGCTTTGGAATGGGCGCCCAACGTAGGGTTTTGTTTTAAAGTGCAATGTGTCTCTCTCTGCTCTCTGCCCCCTCCTCTGCTCTCTGCCCCCTCCTCTGCTCTCTGCCCCCTCCTCTGCTCTCTGCCCCCTCCTCTGCTCTCTGCCCCCTCCTCTGCTCTGGTTGGGCTGGAAGGGCCATCCGCCTTCTTGGCAGCCAGAATTGTCTGGTTTTCATTAAGAAAGAAACTTGGTGAATTGAAACAGCTAAAGGCATTTATCATTTGATTTAGCAACCTCTGCAACATCTACTTGCCATATTTATTGTGAATAAAGGGGGTCATTAGAGGCGTATTTGTAAATCTCACTACTTATTATCCATGTAACTCATTTCAATGACCCCATAAAAGGCATTTTGTGATTTGCTTGAGAGAGACTTAGATTAGCATCTGGCCTGGTTATATTTGCTCAATATTTCTCGCCATATAATGAATAGCCGCTTAGAGAGCCTGGATTGTGTCACAAACAGCATCTGGAGAAATAACATACACCAAAAAGTAACTTTGCTCAAGAGCTGGAACTGATTTTGTGGACTTTTTTTTTTTTTTTAATTGAAACAGGGTCTTGCTCTGTTGCCCAGGCTAGAATATGATCATAGCTCATTGCAACCTCAAACTCCTGGGCTCAAGTAATTCTCCTGCCTCAGCCTCCCAGATAGCTGGGACGACAGGCACATGCCACCATGTCCAGCTAATTTTTCTATTTTCTGTAAAGACAAGGTCTCACTATGTTGCTCAGGCTGGCCTCAAACCCCTGGCCTCAAGCAATCCTCCTACCTCAACTTCCTATAAGCCACTGCACCCAGCCCTTCCTTCACTCTTTATAGCTTAACATGAATAGTTATTTTATTAGGGAAATACTTTAGAAAGTATTTTCCTGATACCAAATCTTTGCCTCACCATAACCACCAATGTGTGTGCAAAACAGCCACAGTTTTAGCCATAGTCCTAAAATGGACACAAGAGAATAGAAGTACTTTATGCCAGAGGAGGCTTATAAATCACATTTCCATAACTTGAATCTGATTCCTCATTGATTTAGTCACAAATCCATTGACCCAGGCCAGAGGTTTTTAAAATGTCCATTTTCTTTCTAAGGAACTAACCCAGCAAAATGCATGCCCCAGGCAGAGTTAGAAGTCACCTTCTTTAAGCCAGTCAAGAATATATAAACTACGAGTTCTTCATTTACAAAAACATATGCATTTCTCTTACTAAAACTTGTTTATAAAACCAGGTACAGTGTCTCATGCCTGTAATCCCAACACTCAGAGGCCCGGGTGGGAGGATCACTTGAGGCCAGGAGTTTGAGACCAGCCTGGGTAGCATAACAAAACCCCATCTTTACAAAAAATAAAAATAATTAGCCAGGCATGGTGGCCCATGTAGTCCCAGCTACATGGGAGGTTGAGGAAGGAGGATCACTTGAGCCCAGAAGTTTGAGGATACAGTGAGCTATAATTGAGCCACTGCACTCCAGTCTGGGCAACAGAGCCAGACCCCATCTCCATAAAGTAAAATAAAAAGTAAACTTGCTTATAGGCACCAAAACTAAGTATGATACACTTAACTTAAAATGAGTTAAATAAGATTATGTTTTTTATAGGTGCCATGCATAAGAACTTCTCATGGATACTTGATTGAGATACTGAACTCTTCCTACTTCTGTGCACAGTAACATCAATACTAATTAGTATCAGACATTCACGGAGTTCTTAGGATGCTAAACATTTGACAGCCTCAGGATAACCCTCTTAAGCAGATAGTGTTGGTCATCCTTACAGATGAGGAAACAGAGTCTTAGGAGACAAGCACGTTTGGTTCACAGACCTCGTAATAACAAAGTCAAAAACCCTAATCCACCTCCATGGACATCACCACCACCAACACCTGACCGCTGTGCAAACTAGCCCTTCTCCAGCCACGTAGTTTTCCTCTGGTAAAATGGGCACATGTCTATAGGTTAGTCCACCTTCTCCTCGCATGCTTTCATTAAGATACATAAATAAGTAGCTCCATAAACAATTGTATGTGATTCCCAGCTACACACCTTCACAACCGGGAGGTCCCCACTGGCCAGCACCAGCTTTTTTCTGAGTCTTGTTTTCTGTGTCCCTTGCTTCTAAGCCTGTCTCCCACCTGCATGTGGTCAGCTTCCTAGCCTCACTTCTCACTTGGGAAGTTGTTTTTTCCCTCCGCAAAGAAGTCATTCCGAAGCTTCCCATCTCATTTCATACTTATTTTAGGAACAATGTCTGAGTTCACCACGTTATTGCCTTTTGCCAGTTTCTCCTAGCAACTGCCCCCAGATACAGAGAGAAACATGTTTAGCTTACAAAATCCAATTTAGAAGAAAATCAAGCAAGATTTTAACTTGTTTTTATCACAATTCCTGTAATTATAGAGATGCTTTAAGTTTCTCTACTCTCTGACTTTTCTGTCAAGTAGTTTATAATAACAACTAGCATTTATAGAGTGTTTATAACGTGCTAGGCTAGGTGCCAAGCGCTTTGCATGCTGTGTCTTAATTAATCCTCACAGCAACCCCCTGAGATGTGTATATGATTATCTTTACTTTCCTAGAGGAAACTGAGGCTCAGAGAGGTGAAGGTCACACTGCTAGGAAGTGGCAGAGCTAGGATACAAACTGCTTTAACCACCCCCGCTTTACCTCCCTCCTATAATGAAAAGAAACCCTTAGGTTTGGGGCTTTTTGTATATGCTAAAGACTCGTATTTTAATGTGCAAATTCTCCCCATCACTTAAAGGCTTTGCAAGTTCAGATTTTTCACATCTTTGTCCAATACTTTTCAATTTCCAAAGCATTGTTTAATCTACTTTCTTTTTGGTCTCAAAAGGCATTTTATTTTTAAAGGACATTTTCATATCACACATATTTACAATTTTTTATACTTCAAAGTCAACCACATTTACATAAATATTTTGTATTAATTTATAATAAATATTCATTGTTATCCCTTTACTTGTTTTATCCTCCCTTTTCTTTCCATTATTGTATTTTTTAATCCTCAGCCTACTTTTCCCATTCTTTACACATCTGTAAATGTCCATATTCTTGCTAGATTTATTTGATGGTAGTTGATTAAACACCTAATGTGTGCCAGGTGCTATGCTGGATGTTATACTTTAGCTCTAAGATTATATTAATAATTCTTTGTGCATTCTCTTTCTCAGTTCCAAAATCTAAACATGATCTTGTAAGTTCAGACTTCCTAAGGTATTTTTGGATACAATGCTTTAGCATTTTTCTTTTTTCACTATTTGGCCTCTTCCTGCCCTCTGCTGCTATCTTCTCAACGCTGTGCCTTTTGTTGTTGTTGTCACTCTTTAACTTAGCACTTGCTAAGTTTCCTGCTGGGCTTTTAAGATGCACAGATGGGATTTAAAGCAGTAAAATTGCTGCAAAAATCCTGTAATCAATGTTCAGTCATGTTAATCCACTGGAGTCTTTAATACCCTCCTCCTGACTGAAAGAGTCACCGGTACCTGTTTTGTGTGCTGGTCATTTCCTTTTCTCCCATGGTCATTGAATGTCAGTCACATCACTGCTGGCATCTGGGTTACAAAGACCTATGGGCCAGAAGAGGGGGGAGACAGGTAGACAAAAGCATGCCACCCAAATGAGCACAGGAATAGGCATCTGGGCAACGTACCAATGTATCAGAGGGGAGCAGAGACTAACACATTCAGGGAAGGAGGACTGAGATTTCTTGAAGTAGTTGACACCTGAGTCAGGTTTGAAGGCCAAGGATGAGCTTGCACGTGGAGAAAGTTAGGGGACTGGGGGCAAAGATCCCTGACAGGGAGACCAGTACATGCAAAGACATCCTTTAAGGCATGGAGAGCAAACTGCACACTGATAGGCCACAAATGTTTTTACCCACAAATGTTTTGCTCAATCTACACAGGCATTTTTAATGTCATTTAGTGGCCAACATTGAACACTTTAGAAACTTTGCATAAATATACATATTTCTGGCTTCTAAAAAAAATTCAGACTGTCTAGCCACTCGAGGTCAGCATCTCCTCATCAAGTGAAAGATTGAAAGTCTTTCAGATGAGCTGTGTGTCCTTCAGTCTGCCGCAGTCCCCACCACTCCACAGTATCCTGTCCTCAAACAGCACAATTCCGCTGCCCGCGCTGGAGTTGGCATCTCTGCCTGACAGGCCTCAGATCAGCAGCAAACCCATCCAGCCCAGACGCGTCTTCCCTCTTTCAGCAATTTCATCATGATGCTGGCTTGTCGAGAGAGAATTCCTCTCACAAGCCATTTGGTTCTTTTTCCTTTTCCTAGCTCACTATTTGCCCTCTCTGAGTACCTCTCCTCATTCTCAAATAAGGAATAAACAACTTCCCCACTACTGGCCATCGCTTCAGATGCCGGCTAACTCTGTTTATTCCACCAACATCTCCTCACTGACAGGAAATGCCCTCCTTTCCCTCCCTTCGCTCATCACCCTCACTACATCCATAGCAGCTTTTCCCATTTGTTCATTCCTTTGCTCTTTCAGCCACGTTTTTTTTTTTTTTTACATTTTCTAGAGACAGAGTGGTTAAACTCTGGTTTAACCTCTGGCAAAGTGGTTAAACCTCGGGTCAGGAGAAAAACAAATTTGAATCTCCGCCATTTTCTCAGTTGTGTCGCCATGGAGAGGTGATTTCAGTTTCATGAGCTGTGAAGTGAGGATGGTGACAGACTTTCCTCATGAGGTTCCTGTGACGATCTAATGAGCTTATGTGCCGCTAGGTCCGACTCCCTAAACTATAGCTGTCATTGAACTTCTGTGCCCTCTCAGCCTTTATTCTCTCTGGTCACTTTCTCTCTTATTCTGTAACATGTCCTGCCACCACTAGGACCACCTGGAAGAAGTACCAGGTTTTCTTCCATATGATCAGTCATTGTGACTTTATTTATTTATTTGTTTTTTAATTTCTTCTTGTCAGAGTCTTATATCTTCTGTACCTCTCTGATAAATTCCCAGCTTTTGAGACAATAAGTTTTAACTATTATAAAATTATCAGAAAATCATTCTCTGGTCAATTTCTACTTTTTTCATGACAAGACGTCATGGGAAATGCATGTTCTATGTTGCTTACATGCGTATCGAAACAAGAATCCTCGAATCCTGAGCTCCCACAGATGGATTCTAAATATTTGGCTGTGTAGGTCATTTTACTCCAAGAAGCAGATGAAGTTGCTGCTAGAAGAAAAGTCATATTTCCTTAAGACAGTTTTCCATTCCACATCTTTGAGAGCACAAATGATGTTTTTTTCACAATTGCTCTAACATGGCTATGGCTTTTCCCTGAACCAGAATGAATTCTTCTCTCAGAGCATTTGACACATGGCAACAATACCTACCTCTTAACTAGGTTCTGTTTCTCACACGTATTCCCCAAATCACACCCATAATCTGTTGGCTACTTTTCCTGGAACTACTAGTACAACATAATGTTATATTAACTCTATTACACAATAATGCCTTTATCTGCTGTTTCATTATCTTCAGAATTGTCTGAATTGGGAGAGACAAGTTAGGGCTCCTCCAGCCCCATCAAAAGGCAAACCCTCACACACAGTCAGCAGCAGTCAGGGGAGAGGGGTGAGTGCACTGCCCACCCTACTGGACCCCAAGTGTGCACGAGCTCAGCCCAGCTCTCCTGGAATTTCTAGAATCAATCAGAGGCTTGCCATTGTCAGTGGGGGTGGGTATTCCAGGTAGAACAGCGCCACAGCACTTTCTAGGTATTCTTTCAGCATGACTGACAAGAGCCATCACATTACAAGCAGTCAAGTCATTCAGATGGCACCTTCATTAGACCAGTGTACTTTTCAAATGTGTTCGAATCAAGCATTGAACACAATCCCAAAATGCAACAGATGACATGTCATGACATTATTAGAAAAATTTCCTCTGCCCTTTCTTCCTCTCTTATATCTGTTTTTAATTTTGTACACACACACATACACACACACACACACGTATATATATAAAAGTTATTTCCTAATCTAAAGGCCAAACCATGGTCAAAAAGAAAGCCATAAAATAGATTTTCAGCATCCAACATCTTTTCTTTTGGTATTTTCCTTTGGTTCATACACTAACCATTCTTGTCAGGGGGAAAAAAGTACATAATATCTGTTAGAGAAGCTAAGAAATAGTTTCTGGGCCAAATCAACTCTATTTCATGCTAACTTTTCATATCTGTGGCCAGTAGCTTATCTAAATATTGGGCATATCTCAAATCAGTAAGCAACCTCATTTCATTAATTGTCACCTTGGCCAGCTTCTTACAGAGCTGAGTGATAAGGGTCACAGTTACTGTCATGGAACATGGAAAAGAACATACATCAAGAGACCCAGATTCTGGGTCTAGTTCTTTCATTTTCGCATTGAATGACCTTATACAATTCATTTTGCCTTTCTGGGGCTATTCCCACTCTTTTCTAAACTAAACCACAAGTTCCTTTAGTCTACACACTGCAAACTGGTTGCTGCCAAATAAATCCCATATCAGTGTCTTGCTTGGCCCACAGAGTATTTTAAAACTTGGTAAATATTAAATAAAAATCCAAATTTCCAACTGCTCTTGAAAAATACAAACACGGGCAATAGTGAACCAACATTCTCACTTAGAAGCTGGGTAAGACTGGCCACTCCAGAGGGGGGATGTACTCTGTGATAGTGCACCACAGTCCCCACCTCTCCCTATTGTCTTGTACTAACCCTGCTTTACTTATTTACATAAGCTTCCAGCCATAATAGGCATATGATTTGACTACCCTGTTTTAGCCATTTATCTGCTGGCTTCCAGCTCACCTCTAGCCAAACTCTTCCAAATTTGCTTTAATTTTTCAAAATTATTCTTATGTTATATAGCAAAAAATAGAATCATTTCTTCAGATGTCCTTAATAGTAAAAGGCCCACATCATATTGTTGGCTCATACTGAGCTTGTGAGCAATTAAAACTCCCGATCACAAGAAGCTGATCTGCCAAATGTGGTCTGTATGGCCTATGAATTTTTTTTCTAATGAAAATCTATGGTTCTAGCCTGAATTTCTATATATCTCATAGGGATTTTGTGATTATCAAATCCACCATAGTATCAAATCACCAAAAGCTTTGAAATAAAGCCCTAGGCAAGTACAAAATACTTTATCGTTTAAATGTCCAGACTATACACTGACAAGGAGGGTATCACTAGCAGTAAATATATTTTGTGATTTTTATTTTTATTTGTTTTAGAGTTTCTTAACTATTTAAAATAGGCCTTTAGGCCGGGCGCGGTGGCTCACGCCTGTAATCCTAGCACTCTGAGAGGCTGAGGTGGGCGGATTGCTCAAGGTCAGGAGTTCAAAACCAGCCTGAGCAAGAGTGAGACCCCGTCTCTACTATAAATAGAAAGAAATTAATTGGCCAACTAAAAATATATAGAAAAAATTAGTCGGGTATGGTGGCGCATACCTGTAGTCCCAGCTGCTTGGGAGGCTGAGGCAGTAGGATCGCTTGAGCCCAGGAGTTTGAGGTTGCTGTGAGCTAGGCTGACGCCACGGCACTCACTCTAGCCTGGGCAACAAAGTGAGACAGAGTCTCACAAAAATAAATAATAAATACATACATAAATACATAATAAAATTATGTATTATTATGTAAATACATAAATAAAATTAAAATAGGCCAAAAAAAAAAATTAAAATAGGCCTTTTAAAGGATGTTAAAACTGAACTGAATTTCCTAATAATGACATAAAATGTCATCTGTTGCCTTTTGGGATTGTGTTCAATGCTTGATTTGACCATGTGAAAATACCAATTAGATAATACCTTGCTGAGAGATACCTTATCACAAGTGCATTTTAATCCAGAATGACCTATAAGACCATATCCTCCACTCTCTTTCTATATGCTTTATCAACCAAGCTGACACTTGGCCTTATCCCATGCTGAAGGAGATACATTTCACTAGTATGTGATTTACACATTCTGCATACAAATGAGAAGGTACTAAAAACAACATCATGCAGCCCTGTTCTTCACAAAATATATGTAAACCATATCACTGGTTCTTAATTCTTTCCTAATTTTTTAGATTTTTATACTTTTTATATTCTTGTGTCATGAATAAATGCCCATGTATCACGTTCAGAATTTACTGTTTTCCAAAAGTGATCCATAACCATTTATTGCTAATCTTAAGAATGTAAAAAGTGTAAAAAATCCAAAAAATTAGGATAGCACATGCAAATTGAAATGCAAAAGAGAGAACATAATCCAAACCAACTCACAGGCTATTTGTGGGACAAGAAGTAAGTACTTGGCTGGGCACAGGGTTGATGCCCTTTGCTTCTCTCTTTTCTTTCTCTCAAAAGTTTCTTTTTTGTGTTTAAGATTGGAGCACAGTGCTACTTGGAATGCTCCGCCCTGACTCAGAAAGGTCTCAAAGCGGTTTTTGATGAAGCAATTCTCACCATTTTCCACCCCAAGAAAAAGAAGAAACGCTGCTCTGAGGGTCACAGCTGCTGTTCGATTATCTGAGGTTGCTTGAGACCCGCCTCTTCCCTATCTAAGGGTGAGAATGGCAGCCAGTCTCCGCCACCACGCTCCAGCCAAAAAGGAGGGCATGAACCGGAAGGAATTCCCTTCCCGCCGAGGCTTGCCCCACCACCCTGCGAGCCCTCCCACGGACAGCCCACTAGTCAGCCAATTGCCACCTACGTCCTCCCCGCCAGCCGGAAGCATCCACACTGCGGACTCTCCGAGAATGTTGGGCCCGGGTTTCAGACAGTGCCACTGCTGCACACATTGGAAACAAAGTCAAAGGCCATCTTGCATTTTATATCTCTCCTGCCCATGAACATGAAGCTGATAGGAAATCATGACAGAAAAACTAAGAGAGGAACTCGGTTCCTATATTGGTGGCCTTACTTAATGTCTTTTACAAAACATGGGACTACAATACTAATGGTTTTTTTCTGATTCTGCTGTTCCACCCATGTGTCTCACATTCGTTTGTATTATGTCAAGATATTGACTAATTTCCAGTTGCTCAGGCATTACAAATCCATACCAAATTAGCCTAAAGACAAGGCATTTTATATCCATTTCTATTTTCAGCATGTTTCTACCAAAGCTATTAAAACCAACACATACCTCTGAATGTCTGATCACAAGAAGACACAGGAAAACTTTAAGAAATTGACAGAGCCATTATTTTTAAACCTGGTTGAACGCAAACACCATCTGAATTGGCGCAGGTCCACGTTTTTTGCCAAAGATTCACACTCTACAAATGCTTAAATTGATAGTTTGATTTTTTTCCATATTATATTGCCATGGCAAACTAAAAATGAACTGTTTACAAAAGTAGTATTTCTGTTTTTCCTTCAAATGGAGTGGGGGAAGAACATAGAAGGACCCATCTTTTAAAATACTGTTTACTCAGCAAAGTGGACCTTCCTGTTTCCTTCCTTCCCCAATGCATGCCCTTTTCCTCCCTTGATTTCACACTTTCTCCCATGCCCAGATCCTTTTGTTCTCCCCAGTTATCACCTAAACCAAAAGAAGGATCTGGCCATCGGGCATGAAAAAGCAAGTGTTTAAAAATACCTAAGGTCAAGGAAAGTGCCTCTGTTGTTCTACTTGCTCCAAATGAAAGTGCTTTCCAGCTTGCCCCACCTAAGCTCCGTTCCATTTAAGTCACATTTTCCAGTTACAACTGTTACTAAAATACTGCCTCTTTCCTTATTCATTCTCCCAAATGTCTAAATAGGGGCCAGATCTGTGGGTATCAAGCTCTGAATCCCCTGCCTTCCAGAATTACGTGCTACAAAGAACAGGGACTTTGGCCCTGTGGAAATAGAAGCTCCCAGCAAGGAATCATGTGCCCAATCATGTGTGACAATTCCAAACATCCAGGAACTTTTGCATCATAGAGTTACTTCCTTTTAATTAGAGGCTATGAGCGCTTCTCATTAGTCTTATTTGCTTATAAATGCCCTGGAATTACCCAGGTAGGCACTTAATTTTTTATTTTAATTGCATAAGCAAAGTACATCTTTGCGGTATGAAATTACAGCAATTTTATTTTAAGACTTTCCAGACTCAAGCTCCCTCTATTAGAAAAAGCCAGTCTTTCCAGTACCTTCTTCTACTGGAGGAAGCACATAAGAAAAGAATTGTGTGGTATGAGTCTTTTCTATTAAGGTCTTCCATGACAACCTCTCAGTTTCAGGGAGTTTGTTGGTTTGTTTGGAATTTCTGAAAGGTGTTTTCTCTTCTTGTACATTTCAAGTACTATTTCCCTTCTCTCCCATCTAATTGCTAAACATTTTTTTTAAATATGCACACACATTTCACACAAGAGAAAACGGGAGTTTTGTAAGTCAAAGCTTGACATTTAGAGAAGACTTTCTGCCTTCGTAAATGGAAATCAACTGTGTATGAACTGTAACTCTGCAGAGGTTATGAATCCACCCTTTACAAAAAATGATGAGCATTTAGCCCCATAATAAATGAAGTGCTATTAGCCAGTTTTGTTACATTATTGCATAGCTACGTCTTGCTAAAGGGCCACTCCTCACTTCTCATTGATGTGGATGAAAAATTGAGAGCATTATGTTTCCAAATGTGTTCACTCAACAGGCAAATAGTTCCCCAGGTCATCGCCTCCTTAATGGGCCACAGGGATTAACTTGTTTGTGGTGGAAAGATCATTCTCTTCCCGAGAACTGGATAGAGACTGCCAGTGTCTGGATGGAGCAGACTCTCAGAGATCCTAGGAGCTAATAACCGAATAAAACAATGTAGAACAAAGCAACCTAAATGAGTTACTTCACGCTGCCAAATTAATCATTCATTCATTCCTTGTTTCATGGCAAGATCTAGCTCATTTCACTAAAAAGTGTTTTCTGCCATAAGACTAAATAAAACTATGTTCTGAAACCAAAGACAAGAAGAGACACAGGAATTTAAAGGATCCTTTTATCCGCACCATCTTTTAAAGTCATGAAGTGGCAGCTGATCTCCATTTGAGAGTTGTGTCTTAACTCTTCAGAGCTAGAAATGGCCTCAGAAACCATAGTCTGTGAACAAAAGTTCTCTGAAAAGGAATTTGAAGGAAAAAGACTATTCCAGTGAACAGTTTGCAACCAGGGAGATGCAAACTCTTGTGTAAAAGGAAGGAGCATTCCAGAGAACAAAAGGAGGGTTTGAGTTTTATAGCAGAAACTCTGACCCATGCTCCCAATCAGGTCCATTTATGCAAATGAAGGATTGGTTCTAATTGGTTATACAGCTGAATCCTGATTGGTTGATTCAGGTGAGCCCTGATTGGCTGAGGCAGGTCAGCTCTGATTGGTTGATTCAGGTGAGTTCTGGAGTCCCAGAGTTGAACACAGGTGTGAGTTTTGAAGGGATTCGAAGTACAAGCCTGTGACTTCTAGTCCCCAAATGGCCACCTGGCTCCATTTATAATTTTGACCCAGTTAGCCACATCCATTTTGGAGGATTGGCTCTTTCAGGTTCACGTTTGTTCACAAGTTCAATTCCTCATTATACATATAAGAAATTCAGTCCTAGATAGGTTGAGAAAGGTGTGTTGTGGCCGTGCTGGGATAGATCTCAGCTTTTCTGCTTCCCATGCAATGCCCTTCAACACAATACTATAATTTATTCATTATCACACATATTAACTTGGAGTTCTGTAGGTGTGTTATTGGAGTTGCATCTGTTTATCCTATAGATTCCAGCCACATTTTAAACACATAATTTCATGTAGTTAGGCCACTATAAATAAAGTAATCCCTCAAACTAGTAATAAACTAGAGATGAGAATTTGACCTATGGACTAATATGCCTGGAATCCACAATATACAGCAACATAATCCTAATCTATTGGTTTAATCAAGTAACTAGTTTTAAAGATTTTCTTTTTGGACTCAGATGATTGGTTAGAAGAATTAATGGACTCCTTGGGTTATTTTTAGAACACAAAAAGACTAAAACACAAGTCAAAGCCACAGTAAGAAATCTGGGCTAATTTCTGCAAAGAAAAGTTATAGTCAAAGAACAATTACCAAAGACAATAACTCCAGTAACCCTCCTAAATCAGGAAGTGAAAAAATGAATCATATACCTATGACAAGGAGGGAGGTTTGGTCTTGAGACTTTGATAAAAATATATCCAATCATGATATGCAAAGCACCATTTGTAAGATTTCAGTTTTGTCAGAGAAGTACTAAAGGAAGTGGGTATAACCCTACACAATTTTCACAGGTTCACCAATAAGGAAATAGTATTACATGGTAGTAAAAGAGCAATCACAACTACACTCACAATTTTAGGAGAAAATAAATCTAAATCCAGAATTTGAAATTTTTAAAAATGTCATTATTTAGGGTATAAGTTCCCATGAGCAGTACCTTGCAAAGTAGAACCTTTTCAAGAAGAAATATTTGACTTGAGGTAAGCCTTTCCAGATGCCATATTATTACATTCATGGAGGCAAATGCATTCATGAGACCAAAGTAATGGAAGATTAGAAATTGAAGTTTTGCTTTAAGGAATGTTGACATCATGCTAGAGATTATTTTTTTATTTTTATTTTTTTTTTTTTTGAGACAGAGTCTCGCTTGTTGCCCAGGCTAGAGTGAGTGCCGTGGTGTCAGCCTAGCTCACAGCAACCTCAAACTCCTGGGCTCAAGCAATCCTCCTGCCTCAGCCTCCCGAGTAGCTGGGACTACAGGCATGCACCACCATGCCCGGCTAATTTTTTATATATATATTAGTTGGCCAATTAATTTCTTTCTATTTATAGTAGAGACGGGGTCTTGCTCTTGCTCAGGCTGGTTTCGAACTCCTGACCTCGAGCAATCCGCCCGCCTCGGCCTCCCAGAGTGCTAGGATTACAGGCTTGAGCCACCTCGCCCGGCCAAGAGATTATTGTATAAGTAGTGATGTGTTCATTTTTAAATCCATACCCGTGTTTAGCTGCCAAAATGCAAAACATGCATTCTCTTGACAGAGAGACCCATAAGTCACCAGCTCCTCCCCTGAGAGTCTTTGAGTAGGCTGCCCAAGTACAAATAAGGAAACTCAACAAACTACTTTCATTTCAAGGACCATTAGAAACAGAAGGGAAAAGAGGTCAGGGAGACTTAGTTTCTAACAAAGGAAGTTGGGCTCTTTGAAAAGGGAAACAGTTAGAGAATGGACAGGAAGCTAAAACCAAACACAAGGCAAAAACACACACTTGAAAGTTCTCCCAGAGAGTTGCGAACTTCTGCCTGGTCCCTAGAAGCACAGGGAAGAAAAGAGGTCGGTTAACGGGAAGAGGATTCTGTGGTTCTGGGTAGGGAAGCGGAGTCAGTCAACAGGGCTTATCGTGTGATAACCTAGATAATTCCATCATTAAAATGAGTGGAATCCTGGACAGTGTTTTGGGTCTTTAATAGCAATGTGAGGCATCCTCCTCTCTGCTTATATAGAGCAGGCAGTCAATGGAAACTTACCAAGAAATATGAGTGAATAAATGATTTTGAAAGCTTCTTTGAGCATAAACATGACTTTAGACCTGAAAAGGATGACTTTGGGATAGCTGGAAAGAAAGTTACTTGTATGAATAATATTTATTCATCTTCACTGGGATATTCCTAAATAGAAAAATTGCATTTAAAATGCACAACCACAATAACAGAACACAAAAATATGAGATAAAGCAATAACTTATGGAGCTTCAATGGTCAACAAAGTCCAGAAAAAAAAAATTAAACCACCAAGCTCTCTGCTCAGCAGCACTTCAGCCATCAGAAGCTCAGCTGTGCTTGTTTAGAAGCTCTTTTGGGGTTAAGGAGGAATGAGTCAAAGAAGGTTTGGCTCATCTGTGAAATGGTGGGATGGAAGTTCAACAACAGTTCTTGGCTTTGAAATTCCATGACAGGAAATTAGAGTAAAAGCTGCATGATTAATCTTGGTCACAAATCTATTTTTTTCCTCCTTAGGGGATATTATGTCAAAAACACTAGAGTTGATTTGGTGCGTATGTGTTTTAAACATGCTGTACTTTGGCAATTTCATTTTGTTCTATGAGTTTTGTGGTGACTCAGAAGCTTTGTGATACTATAGCTGGAGTGATTTTGTTGCATATTTGGCCTTGTATTCCAAGCCTCCCAGTGTGTATGTAGTGATCTTTGCTGAATAGGATCTGATCAGTGTTATAGGGGTGTAAGTTCTGGGGTACTACAAGGAGAGGGTCCCCAGAGCCCACACCTGAGTCTTGCTTTAAAGCAACCTTAGCACACTTAGTCTCCCAGTGACACTGCACAAGTCAGTCTTTTGAGCTTATCTTAATTCTCTAGGGAAAAAATGCAAACACTTTCTGAGTAGGGAAGTATGTTTAGGGGCAGCATTGTAAATACACATCTAAAATTACCTCCATCTGCCATGTTTTAAATCAATTTTTTTAAGCAATCAAATTGTCTTCTCCTAGAGGAACGCTGGGCAAGAAAGTTAACGACTTCTACATTCTTCTCATCACCTGGTTTAAACTGTTTTTTGCTCTGCGTAAACAGTAATTACTGTTTAAGTACATCTCAGCAGAATTTTATCCCAACTGCAACAGTCCATGTTCCTCCCAATGTAATCTCTACAGAGGAAATGGTCATCCAGGGAAGTACACTCACCTGCTCACGGGATGGTGTTTCACCATCCGCCTCTTATGTAACGGCGATTCTATGTACCTTTTTCATAATGAATGGAATAGTATTTCATGTACTCTTAAACCTTGCAATTTATTTTGTGCCATGTTCTGACTTTCATGTCATTAAACGGTTTTTTTCCTACTGTTATTTCTGGGTCATATGTGGGCATCTCCATCTGCTACTCAAAGTATCCTTGCCCAGGCCTCTGTTAGAACAGGAAACTGTCTAGCCCCTTGCTACTCAAAGTGTGGCCAAAGGACCAGCAGCATCGGCATTACCTGGGAGCTAGGTAGAACTGTAGAATCTCGGGCCCAGTCCAGACCTACTGAATCAGAATTTACATCTTAACAGGACCCCTCAAGTGACTTGTGTGCACATTAAAATTGGGGGAGTATTGGTCTATGAGACAACCAAATTCATCTCATCAGTCTTTATATCCAAACATATAGCTATCTGATGACAAAACCATCTCCTTAGCCTATCTCTCAGATGCTAGCTTTTGGGTATTCCTTAGACTGATATTTGAGTTGTTCACATTTACTAGAGGAATAAAAGCACTCTCAGAAATCTTTTTCCTGTCATGTGCTACCCAGCTGCAGTAAAGAAATATGCATATTTTAGAATCAAAAGCAGAAAAGCAGCATCTGGTTTGAAAGATTTACTAAATCTAAAGTACTTCTGTTCTAAAAGTCTTTTTGGTATTTATGAGGAAGAGAGAAATGTCCCCAAAAATTATTTTCCATGAAGAAAGATTCATATCACACGCGTTAGAAGCTTACAAAATGAAGATAAAACAAATTTCTGAGGCATAAAACTTCTGGTGAAGCTTCCATCTTCATTGCTTAAGACATGGAGCTCTAGACAGCAGAGTAAGGATTGTTTGCAAACAACTTGTCCTCTAAACAGGATACAGATTCCCTCCACAGACTTATATTTTTATTGTCTTAAGCATAGACCAGATTTTTATTCACTTACTCAATATTTTTTGGTAAACCTCACTGGGAACCATGTTAGTTCTTCCTGCCCACACCCCACCCTGTGTGCAAAAGCCCTTAAAAAATTGTACACACATACAGTAAAGCCTATCATCTTATTCAAGTCCTGTTGTTCCGGAAGGAGTTCAGAAGGCAAATCAAACCCACCTTCAAACAAATCAAAAAAGTGCACAAGGATCACCACCTCCTTTGGCTAATTTTCTGGGTAGGATGTCAGTGATCTGTTCCCATCTCTATGTGATGTCATTG